GGAGACAAATGCGTGGGATAAGAATCTCCAAAGTCCTGCTTTAGACACAAATGTTTTTAATTTTAGCAATGTTTCTTAGGTGGAAGTAAGCTGATGATGTCACAGATGCTAGGCTATTGAAAATTTAAGTCCTGAGTCCCATTATTACTCCGAGATTTCTGACCTGAGTTGAGGGTTTTAGGAAGAAGACATGGAGGTGGCAGATAACGCTCTCTCTTTGTTTTTGAGGTCAAAAACAATAATTTTCAGTTTTTCTGTGTTTACTGAGAAAGTTTTTTGCATCCAATCACTGATTGTTGGATACAGGAAGGAGCGAGGCCACTGGTCCATGTTTCACCTGCTGTCAGGGACATCATAGAACTGAGTATCCGTCAGCATAATTGTGATAGGACACGTTATTACTGTGTAGTAACCAACCCAGAGCATCTGTAAAATATTAAACAGAGAGGGCCCCAGATTGACCTGTGGCACTCCGCAGGTTTAGGCCAGATGGTCTCGAGATATACAGTTTCCGATCTCCACAAAATACTTTCTTCCTTAGGTAGGATATTAACCAGCTTAGGGCTGTTCCAGAAACACCGAACCCAGTCCTCAGTCTCTGAATGAGATACCATGATCGACAGTGTCCGAAAGCACACTTAAATCTAACAGTTAAAACTGAGACGTTTCCTGCATCAGTGTTAAGTCTGATGTCATTCTGTTTACCTTCACTAAGCGGTCTCTGTGCTGTGGTGGGGTCCTAAAACCAGACTGAACATATCAAAAGAGTGATTGAATTTATTTAAAAATTCTGTAAGTTGTTGGATAGACAACTTTTTCTAGGAATTTTACCCATCGAAAGCAGATTTTTAAATGGCCGATAACTTTAAGTGCCAAGGCATCCAATCCCTCTTTTTAGGAGGGGTCCCTGATGACTGCCGTTTTCAGGCCTTTGGAAATGTTCCAGATTCAAGAGACATATTTACTATATAGCGTGAGTGAAGTAAAAGACTGCTCAGAACAAGATTAAGAGATCCTAGGAGGTAATACATCCAGGCTACATTAGAAGAACGCAGAACTAATGGTATGTATCATTTGGACAGTTTCTTTTGTACTGGTGTAAAGTGTGTCAGCCCAAAAAGCTTCACTGGCTGTTGAGATTGTAATTTCTACTTTGGAGGTGATGGCATTTTTGATGCCTTGGACTTGTCATTAAAAAAACTCTGCAAACTCATTACATTTGTCTTTGGAGGTAATCTCTGATCATCTTAACAGGGGATTTGTCAAATATTTTACTGTTGAGAGAACAGAACGCGTAGATTGTTACTGCTAACCTTCGATTGTTTCGGAAAAATAAGTTTCCCTCGTTTCTTCCGTACACGTCGGTTGAAACTTGCACATGCAATCCTTTGAAGAGCTCATGGTCAACTTGGAATTTGTCTTTCGCCACTTCACGCTCGTCTCCCTCCGGCACTCTCTCTGTCTGTAGCCCTGACAGAGTCTGCTTTGTCCATGCGCTTTTGCTATATATTGGTAACAATATTGACCTTTACAGGAGCAATCGTGTCCAGAACATCCAAAACACTAGAGTTACAGAGTTAATAAATTCATCCACAGTAGAACAACCTCGTGTTAATCAAAGTTTATCAAGCCCAATGAAAAGTTCACTCTGTAATTTTTGTTTTCTGTTCTTCTTCTTCTAACAATTGAGGATTCAGCTCGTGCTTTACTATTGAGACACAGAATCAAAAAATACACAGAAATGATCTGACAGAGCAAACATTGGCCACCATTTACATTGAGATATTAACCCCCTTTAGTAATTCAGATCGAGAGTGTGTCCCTCTGCTATGGGTGGGGCCACTCACATGCTGAGTGAACCAAAGGTTTCCAGCACGAGCGCAGCTCTTTCGCGTATCTATCATTAACGTTATCTACATGTATACTTAAAATCACCTATGAACGACTAAAATAATCAAAGTCTGTGCACACAACTGAAACAACGAATCGGTGACATGATCATTGAAACTATGACATGACTGTGGTCGGCCTTGTACACAACAATAATAAGAATAGAAATGTTTTTGTTTACTATTTTAATAGAGACCATATAGCTCAAAGAGAAAATTTCCCTAGAGTACTCCTATGGGAGACAATACAATCTTTTAAAAACTGCTGCTGTGCTCCTCCTCTTTTATTTTCTCGAATTTCTGATTCAAATTTGAAATTTGGTGGTGTTGTTTCTATGAAACTTGCATTTTCTTATTAAGGACAAGCCCAAGTTTCAGTCATAAACATAAAGTCAAGATTCATAAGAACAGATAAAATTATTAATTTAAAAAGATATATTGCATAGCTGATCGGCATTAAGCGAGCAAGGTTAAAAATAAATTCAGTGTCAGTGGGTTTAGTTGATTGACTACAAAATTGGAATTAGATTTCCTTGAGTTGACCGTCTAACTGCTGTCCTCTGTTTATATTGTGTTTATTCAAATTAAAAACACATTTCTGAGCCTGTGCAGAAACACACACAGTCTCAATGGTTTAAAAAGTTAACTCTGTTTACTTTGTTAGTTCCTCCAGATGCATGACTGAGTCAGCACATTCAGTGGCAACTGTCGTTACACTGCCAACGGACAGGGTCATGTTTGCACCACAGTACTACCACCGGTGCTGGAGGAGGAGAGGGGGGTGGTTGGTGGGGGCCGAGAGGCCGGATTACACAGTCACCACCCCCTCGGGGTGCACTGAACATCAAGGCGTAAAAAGTCCATCAATAAACTGGTACCGAACTGTTCGGAAGGTGCAGACCATCTGTCGATAGACCACGTGACGCTTCCAGAACTGGCCAAAGTTGTTCACAAAACAAAGTTACAAGTGCTGCATCAGACTGGAGCCACATATTCCAGCGCCACAACGCGACTGTAGAGGCAGTCACCCCGGTTTTACAGTCGGACTGGACCAGAGATAAAACACACAACCCGGATGGACTGAGGAGGCGGAATAATCCATAAAATGCTTCTTTGTGACCTCGGACTGCTGCAGCTTCAATGTCGTTGATCCCCTCATCACGATTTACCTTTGAAATGGTATGCAGCAGGGAGTGAAGCAGAGGAGGGAGACGGAGAGCCAGGTCCTGGTACAGTGCTTCCGGGAAAACACTTAGTGACACGCGTTAAAAAAGCGATACGTGTCCCTCACGATGGAATCTCCAACAAACAACGTAGTCGGGCGAAGAGTGGACCGTAGCCGCGAGGAGAGCGCTCGTGTCCAATGGCCAAACCAGCGGGCTCATCCGGGATGAGTCCGAACCAGGGCGTTGCTGAACACATGGATAGGAGTGGGGGTGTGATTTCGTCAGCATCCGGGCATCCCACGCTGTGTGCTCGGGGACGCTGGAGCGGCGTGAGGGAGCAGGCCTCTGGTCGCTGCTCTGACCCGGTGAAGTAAGCGTGGTGATAGCACTGGGGTCAGAGAAGGGAATGACCAATCTTTCGTCTGAGACATGCTTCCTTTAAGAGTGTCTTTCACGCAGTGGACCTGGATCCACGGACAGCAGTAGAGTTGCTGCAGATCCCAGGGGTTTCTGCTGAGGGGGCTGGGATGGTCAGCGGAGAGGGCTGCATATGCGGTTTGAAAGGCTCAGGACTGGGCCACGGCGCTGATGACCTCCTCGCCAGTCCGCTGGCTCTTTCGTCCGAACCGGCACTTAGTGTAGAGCAAGAGGCCCAGAGCTGACAGATCTCGCCCACAACCGACAGTGTCACAGTATGCAGCGCTCAGTGACATAAGGCCTGAGTGCTGACCCGCCCAGCGACAATTTCAAAAAGTTTGGACAACGAGTGACTGTTAAACCGGCAGCTCTGCAGTGAGGCGAAGGACGTCTTTACGGAGGTCCTGCATATAATGGCAACGGTCCCCTCGCAACGAAGCTCCATTGAGGCGAACTAATGTCGTTCGTGGTCATGCAAGTGTCCACTTTCCATGTCTGTGGTGCGCTCGTGGTAGCCTCCGAGCTAGCGCGTTTCGATTGGTCTTTGTGTTAAAGAACGTGATGCTCTGGAACCATTGCATTTAAGATAATAAAACACAAGATGTACAAAGACACAATACACCGTAAAAACGAGTTTTAAAAGGCTTAAAAAGGCTTAAAGGGTAAACAGAGCAGAGACGTTCAAAAACGCGTGCCACTCCGCTGTTTTGTATAATTATAAATATAACAACTGACAATAAGACAAAAACACATCACATCCATCATGCCACTGTATTCTCTCACACCTTCTTCTCCAGCTCATCAGGGGAATTCTGAGGGGTTCACCAAACCTCTGAGAGTCATAGTCCCTCCCACATCGCCATGGACTCTTCTCTGGGCTCCACATCACTGAATACGTTCATAAACCACAAGTGATAACCGGATAACTCTGTCCAACATTTGTCCAATTTGATTAGATTGAGCAAGAATGTTAAACCCTGCCCTGCGATTGAGTTGGATTGAACCATTTCTAATTTGATTAAACTGGATCCTACAGAGATAAGGCTAGAAGATTCAATCAAGAGCTCAGGGAAAAAAACTCTTTACAAATGGACATATTGGAGTTACAGTATTCATTTATTTTGATCACTGTCATTTTGGCCAAACAGACTCTTTTATAATACTAATGATGAGACATTTTAAATGATTTTTGCATCAAATGTAAACAGTTTGATCATGTAGTAGAGCCAGTGTGACAGCTCACATTACTACAGTACAGAGTAATGTGAGCTGCAGGAGTATAGAGACACAACAGTGTGCTCCTCCAGCTCTGGACATGTGCATCAATAAATATATCTTAAACAATGTCATGAAAAGCACAGGTTGGCGCACTTTCATATTTAGCCCCTGCCTGTGCTGCCAAATCATCTGTGTATCACACGTTTAGAATTTGTTTTTTGTCAAAGTAAGTCAAAACAGTGGGCATGTCTAAGAGCCAGAAGGGAAGAATGGTGGCACAGATGTGACCCACAATTTTCACCAAGCGTCTTCAGCACGTCTTTGGCGCGTATTCGTAGACGGCCTTGTGACGTAAAATAACACGAGCGTGTAACGGGAACATGACCTGCACAACAATTACATAAATTACAAAGCGTTCAACTCCTATTTCCTGTGTCCCACACGATGATAAACCACAATATGCAACGTCACACACAGTGGGGGCGGGTCCCAGTTCAAAAGTGGCCAAAATGACGTGCGCTGACATGCTTGCGATACCACCACGGGCCGATGGGGGTGGACCCGGAATAAGAATTAGCCAATGCTAACATATAGCATTAGCTGACCTCTCAAACACCTTCACAGGATGGTCCAAAAGTCGGCTCTTGGCTCAAAGCTCCGTCCCACATGTGTGTCAATGCTGATGGGGGTGAATTTTTTTACTCGCTGTGAATTTTTGAAGTCACTTGGGTAACGCTTTATATTAAGGTGTGCTTGTTAAGTATTAATAAGGTATTAATAGACATTAGCAACGTGCTTATATATTGCTTATATGTACTTATAAACATATTAATAAGCTGCTCATTTCACTATTCTCTAAATGATGTTGTTCTAGTGATATGCTTTTAAGCATTTAATAAGTAATTAGTAAGATACTTATTAAAGGAGGAATATGTTTATAAATATATGAATAAGCTGCTTATTAAACTATTATCGATACCATGTTAATAGGCCACTAACAATATGCCTATAAAGATATTAATACGCTGCTTATTAATAGGCAATAGTGGTAATAGGCCACTAAAAATTTGCGTTAATAAACTGCTTATTACACTATTTTGCAGTACCCTAATCTGAAGCGAGGAGCATTTTTGTTAATGCAGAAAAAAAACACAACAATGATCTAAGATGTTTTTATTTATTCAAACAGCAACAATTAAAGGACCAGACGATGCCCAAAAATAGGCGAGCTCCGCTAATAGGGGTGTGACGATACTTTCTCCCGCGATTCGATTATCGATATGCATTTGCCAAGTATCAATATCAATTTTGAAAAATAAAATAAAAAATGTTTTTTTTTTCTCCTTTTTTTTCGTTTTTATTGGTATTAATACTTAATATATGGCTACATTACGCATCTCCATTCTATTTATCATGAAATAAAGAGTATTTTTTATTTTATTTATGCCATAAATTGGCATATTGTCTATTTCTGACCAATATATCAATAATCGTCATATCGTGATAAAATCGTTATTGTAATCTTTATCGTGAGCTTTGTATCGTGTATCGTATCGTATCGTGAGGTACCCTTAGGTTCCCACCCCTGTCCGCTAATCTCTCAGGCTCGTGAAGTCAGTTGATTCACTGTTTTGCCAAAGCCAAATTCAAGCAGGTCGGAGCATGAGTGGGGGCATCATGGCTCCTTGAAGTTACTAACAAACTTTTGGCACAAACTTAATTTTGATATTTTTTTTCATTTAGACTTTAATTGTTGCTGTTTGAATAAATAAAAACATCTTAGATCATTGTTGTGTTTTTTTCTGCATTAACAAAAATGCTCCTCGCTTTAGATTAAGGTACTGCAAAATAGTGTAATAAGCAGTTTATTAACGCATATTTTTAGTGGCCTATTACCACTATTGCCTATTAATAAGCAGCGTATTAATATCTTTATAGGCATATTGTTTAGTGGCCTATTAACATGGTCACAAAGCATCGATAATAGTTTAATAAGCAGCTTATTCATATATTTATAAACATATTCCTCCTTTAATAAGTATCTTACTAATTACTTATTAAATGCTTAAAAGCATATAACTAGAACAACATCATTTAGAGAATAGTGAAATGAGCAGCTTATTAATATGTTTATAAGTACATATAAGCAATATATAAGCATGTTGCTAATGTCTATTAATACCTTATTAATACTTAACAAGCACACCTTAATATAAAGCGTTACCCTTTATTTTAAGTATTTATTCTGTTAACAGGAACACTGATTAATAAAATTATTGTGAAGACAGACAAAGCTTATTTTCATCCGTAGTTTCTGGGGCAGACCTTGTCACAACAGGTTTATAGTTTACAAAGAATTAATCACAAAGAATTAACAAGGAAAATGGTCTCATTAGCATTTAAAATAAAGGTAAAATACAACACACTTAACGACAAAGAGACACAATACTTACAATATATACAACACAAGTTGTTACAATCACACTTTCGTTGCCAGAATCTTCTGCTTGTGACATATGCAGCTCCTGGAGCACTTATTACTGATGCAATCCACCTCCTGGGGTTCAGACAAACATAGTACAAACTCTGTATGTTACATATTGTACTTATTTTGTATCAGCTTTCATCTAAACAAATGTGTGTTGCCAAAGAATAACTGTATTGTTGCACTTTACGTTTCCTTTTGTGTGAATTAATAGTTACCTAATGTAACTTAAGTTCTACGAATAGGTGCGTAGTCCCTTAGGACTATGTTAGTGGGATATCACGTGACCCCCAGGTCACACGCCAGAGAGATCAAATATATAAAATATGCTCCAATCACTAGCGACCCTCCTCTATAAAAGCCCCTGCACAAGGCCGCGCCCCCTCTTGAACTCTGCCAAGCCGGGCTGGCCTGATGGGCTCGTAGCTAAGGGACTACGCACCTATTCGTAGAACTTAAGTTACATTAGGTAACTATTATTTCTACGTCATGGTGCTACGTCCCTTAGGACTTCGCTAGTGGGACACAACGCGGAGGCCGTAGGAACATGTACTCCCAGCAGGCCAGCAAAGAGTGATTGGAGCCCCGCCCGAGCAAGACCCTCACACAGTGAGAGGACTCAGGGCAGAAGAATAATCAATTGCGTGTTACAGGGCCGCTCCTCCCAAGGACACCCCCAAGTAACAGTATTTCAATCTGGAGAGACGAGGAGACAAAATGCATTTGAAGTATTTTATTGAAGGTAGTTTGGCGCCCTAGGCCCCGGTGCGGCGTTCAGTCAGCGAGGCTCCTGCGAGAGTGCGCGCACAATCCCCCGGGACCTAGGCACTGGTGGCGGCATTCGGGCAGCAGGAAGAGGCATGATTGAGGCAGGGTGAGAAAAGGAGGAGGAGGGGAGGCGGTGGTTTGCAAGGCTTCGAGAAGGCCGTAAAGTGGGAGTTTCTCCGCTTTTAAGCGGCTGGCCTGGCCGGCGTAGGTTGGTTGGAAATGGGCGTTTGCTGTGCGATAGGCTGGGGCTGCGAGGCCGGCCTGGAAGGGGTGGCTTTGCTGACGTCTTCCAAATTGAATTTCCGCGAGGCTGCATTTGTGAACCATTCCATTGTAGATTTGGCTTTATGTTTTGGATCATTGTCCTGTTGGAAGATAAATCTCCGTCCCAGTCTCCGGTCTTTTGCAGACTCCAACAGGTTTTCTTCCAGAATGGTCCTGTATTTGGCTCCATCCATCTTCCCATCAATTTTAGCCATCTTCCCTGTCCCTGCTGAAGAAAAGCAGGCCCAAACCATGATGCTGCCACCACCATGTTTGACAGTGGGGATGGTGTGTTCAGGGTGATGAGCTGTGTTGCTTTTACGTCATGAATCAACAACAAAGATATCCATAAAAAGTCTCGTTTAAAGTTTACCACAAGCCACCTGGGAGACACACCAAACATGTGGAAGAAGGTGCTCTGGTCAGATGAAACCAAAATCGAACTTTTTGGCCACAATGCAAAACGATAGGTTTGGCGTAAAAGCAACACAGCTCATCACCCTGAACACACCATCCCCACTGTCAAACATGGTGGTGGCAGCATCATGGTTTGGGCCTGCTTTTCTTCAGCAGGGACAGGGAAGATGGCTAAAATTGATGGGAAGATGGATGGAGCCAAATACAGGACCATTCTGGAAGCCAAATCTACAATGGAATGGTTCACAAATATACGTATCCAGGTGTCAGAATGGCCAAGTCAAAGTCCAGACCTGAATCCAATTGAGAATCTGTGGAAAGAGCTGAAGAGTGCTGTTCACAAACGCTCTCCATCCAACCTCACTGAGCTCGAGCTGTTTTGCAAGGAAGAATGGGCAAGAATTCCAGTCTCTCGATGTGCAAAACTGATAGAGACATACCCCAAGCGACTTGCAGCTGTAATTGCAGCAAAAGGTGGCGCTACAAAGTATTAGCGCAAGGGGGCCGAATAATATTGCACGCCCCAAAACTAGGTAGCTCCGTGGGATGAGAGCGTAGGGGAAATGAGAAGCCTGTGAGCGAGTTGGGGGGCGGTGCTAAACATTCAAACATTGCAGAAACGGGTATAGCGCCTTTAATACAGTCTAAAAGACATGCTTCTGCAAAAAAAACGTCTTACTGATTGGAAGAAGGAGCTGATGCGGCTCTTCTTCTGGGGTATCTCCAGATTATAGCGGATTGTGTCTATGATGGTGTCGATGTAGTTCTCATCGATGAGGCAGTTGAATGAAACCCAGTGTTTTTTGGACCCCGAGCACAGGTCTTTGTACACATCCTCCGCCACATCCAGGATGTTCTCAGCATCAGGCCTCACCTTCACGTTCCATTGTGTCATATTTTCCTCCAGCCGCTGCCACAACTTTACAAATGGGGCCACATTGGCCAGACTTTTGGTCTGGAGGGCGTGCCTTGTTACTTCATAAGCCAAGAATCTGATGTGATATGTGTCCCACTCGAAATGAACATCTGCTGCAGTTGTTGGTTGGGGAGGGGTATGGCGTGTGCCTGTATAGTGGGTCTGGGGGTCCATGGACATACAGAGGACGGCATTTCGCAGTTTTTGATAAGTATTTCTGACTTCACCCGTCTTTGGTTCCTGATCCCTCTGTTTATCAACCCACTCCTTTACGGACTTCAGGAATTCGAGCACTGATCTTGTGACCTTTCTGCCAAATTTCCAGGCTCCAATAGAGTTTCTGGGGCTCATATTCTGCACAATGACCTGTTGAAGTGCCTCATTCACATCCTTGTGTTGTCCATTGGAGATGTCCTGGGACAATTTCTCATAGAAACTGGCCTCTTGGATGTCATCAGGCACGGACATCAACTTCTCCAAATGACAGGCTGCCTCTTCCTCCATTGTTTCTATATCAGTGCTTACTTTACGCTTACGTGATAATTTTATCAGTAATTTTCTGAAAGAGAGTTTTGCATGACACAGGGCCAGAAAAGATTCAACCCTATGAACTACTCTGAAATAGCAGCAGGTTATACTGACCTCATCAGAGTCCAGAGAGTTTCTGTATCGGATTTCATCCATCTCGTCCAACATCATGGAGTAGATAGACACTGCATCCGCTTCACTCTTATCACTCAGTCTGCTTACAAGAACCTCAGCCTCATCTTTGTTCAGGCTGGAAGATCGGGCAACTGTTACTGCTGCTTCATCCAGGAGCTCTTTCATCTGTAAATGAAAATAAATAAATGACTCAAATGCAGATGCAATGCTGGCCTGAGAAGCTGTTCTTGAAACTGGAGGGAGTAGAGATTGAGTGGCTACATTGGAATCCTCCTCAGATGAACTCTGACTGCTCTCCTCCGAGTACGCTTGACATGAGCACCAGGTGTTTACAGAGCTTTGAGTCACTCTCTTCCTTTTTTCTTGTTGTGCAGCAGCCTTCATTGCTTTTTGCTGCTTGTTTTCAGACAAGATCTCGTTGGTAATATGTTCCTTGTCACCAAAAGACTCTGAAGGAGAAACATAGCTCTTTTTAGGGGAGGATTGCGTATGTTCTTCCTTTGATTGCACAAGGCAAGGGCGAAGGGAAAGGGGCTTGCTCTGGGTCTGCTCTGGGACTCGCTCCTCCATCTGACACAACCCCTTAGGTACAGTTTTCTGGACTAAAGGTGCAACCTCTTCACTCAGAGGCATTGAACAAGCTCCTGGAAGATTTGGCCAAATAATCTCAGAAGTAAATGTACCACTAGAGCTGTGAGTGGTCTGTTTGGTTGTCTCCTGCTCAGTTTCTGTAGGGAGACTCTCCACTTGTGTTTCTTGTGTCTCACTGGTTGCAGAGTCGGATCTGGGTTTGATCTCTGGAACAAAACTCGAAATCCCAGAGGCACCGTTCTGAGACAGGTTTGCAGTCTCCACAGATTCGGCCACTCCCAGCCCGTTCCGTCTGAGTTCATTTCTGACTTTGAGACGTTTGGCCCTCTCTTGTAGCTCTTTGTCCACCGGCTTCTCCTCACCTGAGATCTTTGTCCTGCATGGCCAACAGCATTGCATGAACTTCTGGGCATTGGAGACGATGCTGAGGAGCTTGTATCTGGATGGGGTGTAGCCTTGTTCTTTGTCTACTGTCAGTTTGCTTCCAGGAGATCCCACGCGACTCAGAACCGAGTTGACAGTGTCAGTCACCTCAGCACTTATCTGCTCATGGGCCTTCTCAAGTGCATAATACTCATCAGCAGAACTGGTCTTGAAGCTGGTTCGGAGGACAGCGCTCAGGGCGTCTTTCACGGCATCTTCCGAGAGCACAGCATCACTTGACGAAAGCTGTTCCCGGGCGATGATTTTCCCCACACCACTGAGGATTTGATCAGAGAAGTTCATGATAATATCCATGAACAGCTGTGACATGTGTGTGCGAACCTCGTGCTCGCTGAAGCCTGCGGTCTGCACAGTCCTCCAGAAGTTGATCAGAGGTTGGATCTGGTCCACGTTGATGGTGGGTATGGCGTTGTCCAGGGGTGAGCTGGGACGCTTACTCATCAGTTGGAATGATTGCATGAACTCTACTTCTCTGATCGGTTGCATTAGCTCATCCGTTCTGCTATGAAACCTTAAGTCTTCCATTCTGGGCGGTGGCGTCGGGTCAAAGCCTCTTTCTTCGTTCGTTTTCTTCGTTCTTCCTTGTGAATTATAAACGTGGATTCTAATCTGCTGTGACGCTGTGGGCGGCGGCTTCAGATGTGGGTTTTGGCAAAAGTGGACTTCCTGGACTGACCTAGCCTCCACCACAATATAATTATGTGGATTCTAACTGATGACATCACAAAGCTGTTATGACAAGGTAATCGGTATCCATGGTAACCGGCATCCATGGTAACAGGTCTCTATGGTAACGGGTCTCCACGGAAACTGGTACAATGGAACACTGGGCAGTCTGGAGCCAGCAATAAGGAAAAACAATGAGAAAAGAAATGATTTCTTTTCCTGGAGAATTTAAACATCACAGTGCATTGTTTAAGATTACAACTGACACCATACGCTGAGATTATGATTTTCTATCTATTCTTTATTTTAAGTATTTATTCTGTTAACAGGAACACTGATTAATAAAATTATTGTGAAGACAGACAAAGCTTATTTTCATCCGTAGTTTCTGGGGCAGACCTTGTCACAACAGGTTTATAGTTTACAAAGAATTAATCACAAAGAATTAACAAGGAAAATGGTCTCATTAGCATTTAAAATAAAGGTAAAATACAACACACTTAACGACAAAGAGACACAATACTTACAATATATACAACACAAGTTGTTACAATCACACTTTCGTTGCCAGAATCTTCTGCTTGTGACATATGCAGCTCCTGGAGCACTTATTACTGATGCAATCCACCTCCTGGGGTTCAGACAAACATAGTACAAACTCTGTATGTTACATATTGTACTTATTTTGTATCAGCTTTCATCTAAACAAATGTGTGTTGCCAAAGAATAACTGTATTGTTGCACTTTACGTTTCCTTTTGTGTGAATTAATAGTTACCTAATGTAACTTAAGTTCTACGAATAGGTGCGTAGTCCCTTAGGACTATGTTAGTGGGATATCACGTGACCCCCAGGTCACACGCCAGAGAGATCAAATATATAAAATATGCTCCAATCACTAGCGACCCTCCTCTATAAAAGCCCCTGCACAAGGCCGCGCCCCCTCTTGAACTCTGCCAAGCCGGGCTGGCCTGATGGGCTCGTAGCTAAGGGACTACGCACCTATTCGTAGAACTTAAGTTACATTAGGTAACTATTATTTCTACGTCATGGTGCTACGTCCCTTAGGACTTCGCTAGTGGGACACAACGCGGAGGCCGTAGGAACATGTACTCCCAGCAGGCCAGCAAAGAGTGATTGGAGCCCCGCCCGAGCAAGACCCTCACACAGTGAGAGGACTCAGGGCAGAAGAATAATCAATTGCGTGTTACAGGGCCGCTCCTCCCAAGGACACCCCCAAGTAACAGTATTTCAATCTGGAGAGACGAGGAGACAAAATGCATTTGAAGTATTTTATTGAAGGTAGTTTGGCGCCCTAGGCCCCGGTGCGGCGTTCAGTCAGCGAGGCTCCTGCGAGAGAGTGCGCGCACAATCCCCCGGGACCTAGGCACTGGTGGCGGCATTCGGGCAGCAGGAAGAGGCATGATTGAGGCAGGGTGAGAAAAGGAGGAGGAGGGGAGGCGGTGGTTTGCAAGGCTTCGAGAAGGCCGTAAAGTGGGAGTTTCTCCGCTTTTAAGCGGCTGGCCTGGCCGGCGTAGGTTGGTTGGAAATGGGCGTTTGCTGTGCGATAGGCTGGGGCTGCGAGGCCGGCCTGGAAGGGGTGGCTTTGCTGACGTCTTCCAAATTGAATTTCCGCGAGGCTGCATTTGTGAACCATTCCATTGTAGATTTGGCTTTATGTTTTGGATCATTGTCCTGTTGGAAGATAAATCTCCGTCCCAGTCTCCGGTCTTTTGCAGACTCCAACAGGTTTTCTTCCAGAATGGTCCTGTATTTGGCTCCATCCATCTTCCCATCAATTTTAGGCCATCTTCCCTGTCCCTGCTGAAGAAAAGCAGGCCCAAACCATGATGCTGCCACCACCATGTTTGACAGTGGGGATGGTGTGTTCAGGGTGATGAGCTGTGTTGCTTTTACGTCATGAATCAACAACAAAGATATCCATAAAAAGTCTCGTTTAAAGTTTACCACAAGCCACCTGGAAGCGCAGATATTTATTTTGAGAGGGACACAGAATATTTTCATTAATGGCTCTGCCTCCCCTGACGGTCAGCACCAGATCATATACGGAATCTGGACGAAAGCGGAACCCAACCCACCTTAACCCTAACCTTAACCATCTTACTCAGACCACCTTAACCCTAACCTTAACCATCTTACTCAGACCACCTTAAATCTAACCTTAACCATCTTACTCAGACCACCTTAACCCTAACCTCAACTATCTTACTCAGACCATCTTAACCCTAACCTTAACCATCTTACTCAGACCACCTTAACCCTAACCTCAACTATCTTACTCAGACCACCTTAACCCTAACCTTAACTATCTTACTCAGACCACCTTAACCCTAACCTTAACCATCTTACTCAGACCACCTTAACCCTAACCTTAACCCTCTTACTCAGACCACCTTAACCCTAACCTTAACCATCTTACTCAGACCACCTTAACCCTAACCTTAACCATCTTACTCAGACCACCTTAACCCTAACCTTAACCATCTTACTCAGACCACCTTAACCCTAACCTTAACCCTCTTACTCAGACCACCTTAACCCTAACCTTAACCATCTTACTCAGACCACCTTAACCCTAACCTTAACCATCTTACTCAGACCCACCTTAACCCTAACCTTAACCATCTTACTCAGACCACCTTAACCCTAACCTTAACCATCTTACTCAGACCACCTTAACCCTAACCTTAACCATCTTACTCAGACCACCTTAACCCTAACCTTAACCATCTTACTCAGATCACTGTGAGATTTCATAACACTTTTAAGCAACTTTTGTTAAAGTTAAACTCATCATTCTATCAATGTGCAGAAGCCAGTACTTTTCCCTTGTTGTGTCTATCTGAAGGCCAAGCTACATGGCACTGTGGCAGCTGCTGATTGGAGGTCTCCATGCCTCCGCTCTGTATAATACACTTGCATTCTGTGTGTGTGTTGTTCGTGCTGTCTCTACCATCGACAATAAAACATGTCTTCTGTCTGAATTAAAGACGCGATCCTAGACTTTGTCATCTTCTTCACCACCTTAACCCTAAAACATCTTACTCAGTGAGTGTGTGTGTGTGTGTATGTGTGT